ATTAAAATCTGAATAGTCATTCAGGAAATGGAATTGAATATGTAAGAAATCGAATTCATATTCGGGCAATAACAGGAGGAGAATGGATTGCTTTGAAGATGGAAAAATAACAAAAACAATTCTGATGATATTGTTGGAAAGTTTCTCAAAACGATGACTTCCAAAATCGAAAATTACATATTTCCTAGTTCAGTAAATCAGTGAGTTTAACTTCAAGTAAGAAGTAGAAGCAAATCTTCTAATCATTCTGCAAGATGTGCGGTGTCTTTTTCTGAAACTCTCTTGCCAATATTTCAAAAGAAAGAAAAATTGTTCTCCATTGAAATTGGAAATCTTGCAGGTCCCTTTTTCCTAAAAAATTTTAGATCTTTTTCAATTATACACTTCGATCCTCTCCAAACTTTTCGGTTGAATGTCTTCCAAATTTGAAAATGCTTTTAATATGTTTTATTCTCTGCAAAAAAACATAAAAGACTAAATGACCTATATTTACAAAGTGTCCACATATTTTGAAGCCCCACATTCCTTATTGTCATTTCGAAGAACCAGGTCAAAGTTCTACAATTTTGGTGGGGGGGGGGGGGTCTTCGAGAACTTTGGTCATTTGATATCTGTTGTGGGGTTCTTAGAAAAACGAAAGAAAGCAAAATTGGCATATTGAAGGATCCTGCTTGTGAATTTATGAATGTGGTATGACTTAGAGGTTAACTGGTGTGAATATTTATGCGACTCAGATTGAAAATACTTCTAGCGAATTGATGTTTCACAATATTTCCACTTTTCGTAAATCTTTAAGCAAATGCTAGCCTTGAAACAGCAAGAAGAAGAGAAAAAGAGGTAGCAGGTCCCTAAAGTAGCGCCAATGGGAGTCAATGAATTGAAATCAGAATTGAAAGTGAACTGCACTCAGCAACAGGAGAGGAGAGATAAACTAGGTTTACCAATCAAAATCAGAAATGTAATTTAATGAAGTCTAATTGAAAAGGGATGAGTGGAGTAACGACGAAAAAGCAGAAATATGCTTCCTTGAATTTCAAAACGATCGAAAATCGAATATGCTTGGTGGAAAGCCTCCGTTGAAATTGCTAATGAAAAGGAGTATGATGATACTGAATGAAATATTTAAATGTGATACTGAGGCGGAAATGGTTCGCTGGAAGTGAAACCGGAACCCACTAAATTACTTGCTGATAAACCCGAAGACATGGCTTCACGATGCCAATGGCGCTAAGAAAAGGATCTATCAAGACCGAAATTTTATTTTAATGGCCAGAAATAATAAATCGAATGCCTTTTTTCAAGTGGAAATAACATTCTCAGTATTCTTGTCTAGTTTATTTCTTTTCTAATTATTTTAGTGCCTTGTTTAAATATTTTAAAGAAGCAACTAAAGTTAACTTCGGTACCTAATTGACTTTTGCGCGCTTTTCTCTTCTTCTTCTTTTCTGACTGAAAATAGAGTTATCGGGCTTGCAAACTGTAAAACTATTGATTTATTGACTGGTATTCATTATTTGAGACTCGCATCCATAATTGTAGACAAATTATTAGCCTAGAATTCGTGTTTGACTGTGATTTTATTCACTTGCTGCGTTTGCTGGTGAACCTAGTGATGCTTGAATATCTTTCTAAACACCCAGAACAAAAAAATAAAAATTAGCAAATAGGCGGATTTTAGGAGTTTGAAAGTGTTTTAATTTCGGTTAATCAATTAGTCAAGATTCATTACCATATAAGATCATTTAAAAAAAACAATTTAAAGAATTCATAAAAATCCCTTTCAATTTATATGATTCATCTGAGTATTGGTATATATCCATCCTATGCTAACAAGATGTAAAGACCAAAATACTAGTATTTCTTTCAGAAGGGATGGTCGGTCGTTGTTAAAGAAGGGATTTTTGCTCAAATCTATTTTAATTTGATAACGAATCTTAATAGTTGCCAATCTGTATAGCTTTGAAACCACTAAAATTAGACTAAATCGAGCCCACAGAGTCGTGGTTACTCGAGGCGATCAAATTAGCTTCATATCAAGATCCACCATGCGCTGTAAAATATGCGTTCTCAATTTTTTTCTGAGCCATTTTACATTTCCGTATGCATAAAACCCCACCTTAATCATGCAGAAATGCCCTCTAGCCAATTGCGAGAACGAATCATTTCTTTTGCTCTTAACGTATGGCTATTTTTCATTGTTTTGCAATTAGATTTTTGGAAAATGCAAATAGGCTCAACCCACAGATCACCTAATTGTCCAAAAGAACGCACAAAAAAGAGAAGTCACTTTTAAATAACGAAATCTTGTAATTTAATTAAAACTTCTTTGCTTTATGTGAAAAAACTAGGTATCTCCTGCCGATACAATGGGAATTTTATTTTAAAATTCGAGTTTTAGTTGAGGATTCGTTCGATTATGTAGGAGAAACTGTGACATTTGGAGTTTGTAGCAGGGCTTCCTAGTCTGAGCATAGATTTGAGAATATATTTCTGTACCGACCAATAACCATCTAAGTGTGTTCATGGCTTAAACATTTAAAAATTGGCAAATCTTACGGAGCACTACTTTCCACCTGGTATGTTCACCCTAAGTTCTTGGAAATTTGGCTTATCTTTGCTTAATTCCCCTGTAATATTTTCGGATTTTTCCTCTTCCTTCACAGTAATGGAGTCGAGTCACCTCGTTGCGATGAGGCAGTTGAAAATGTTTTTTTTGCTTTCACCTCTTAATCCTCCTCTTGCCTAACTCTGTAAACTATTCTGAACCTGTTGCATATATATATATATTTCAGAGAATTCAAGAGGGTAGTTTTGTTATTAACTCTTTATAGAAAAATGAAAGGTGCTTTTCAACTAATTGAATTTATTCTGCAGATGCTTGGGACCTCATTGTCAAATGGGTGCCCTTTATTTTAGCCTTCTTGGAATTCATTATGAGTTCCATCGTCGAAATATCTCCAAATTTCCCATTATAATGGTACTAGATCACATTACTGGAAGATTAAACATTTTGAGGTCTATATCAAATGTTCGTTTTAAGTTCCACTTCATTATTCGCCATCGCAATAGCACTGCCCACGTTTCGTCGTTTCAAAGGTCTTATCAACTCTATACACTGAAAATGGGTCATTGATTACCCAACTAATTTCATCTCTATAACCCCGACCGCTTTGGCGAGACTATGCCAACCATCCATTTAGGGGAAGATGGAGAAAGTGAGGTCATGGTGTTGACTGAAATGATTAATTCGCCCTCCCTCCCTCCCCCCTTTCCTTCCTATTTGGCACCCTCGCCTTCTTCTGACGTGATGGAGATTTTGGCTGGAGTCATCGTTCTTAAACTCAGTATACAAAATAAACGAGTTTTGTAGTCAGGTTTGCAAACTCCCCCCCCCCATTCAGAATATAGTGTCCAAATGATAAATGTGTCTGTACTATAATTTATAGATTGATTTCAAGCTTTATCTCAAAGTAAATATTACCCACGCCAATCCCATAGCATTGTAGAAAACGAGAGGCAAAGAGTAGTATTTAATTAAATTGAAATTCAAATACCTTCCTTCATTTGAATCCAGGAAGCCTTGTATTCACTTTACGGCGCCCTAAATGATCCAAAGATCAATTTCCATGAATTTGTTTTTGGGTATCCGTGTGAGTACACGTCAGTGACACTCAAAGGTCACTGGAATTCACTCAATGACTTTAAACTTCAATTAATGGGTCATTTCAGAATGTGGTTTCAATTCATAATGAAATGTATATGTATAACATTTGGCGTTCGTAGTAATGTATTTCAAACAAAAATTTTCAGTGATATTTTCCTAGTCAGTGTTTTAAATTCAAATAGGAAAGATTAATTGGTAAATCTGAAAATAGGATTCGAACACTTAGTAGTGAAATATTTTGTACTTTCATTATTATGGTGCTAGATGAACTTACTCTTTTATTCTCCCATTATCAAGAAAATTCTACTCTAATTTATTGCCTGTGATAAAATTTCAATTTATCGGCCAATAAAGAATCCGCTGTTTATTAGAATTGAAAAAATATTAAAAAGCCCTATTTAAATTTGGATAGTTAACTTTAAAAAGGAAAAAAATTAATTTGTCGGCTACAACGTTTTTGCAAATAGTAAAGAGACTGTTATTTTGGTCGTTTTAAGCCCAGGGGCCGTAGCCTATTTCATTTAAAACGTCTGACCAAAAGTAAAAATGAAGGCATTTTAATTTTATGAAATTTAGTGAGCCTTTGTTCATTTGTCGTAATGAAAAATAGGATGACGAGATTTTCGCGTCATATCAATTTTGACTTTCGGTAAAATTCCATTGCATTTCCCTTACCAATTTCATTAATACTCTGTTCCAGTCTAAGAAAGGCACTTTAATATCCCCTAAATATTAAAAACTCTCATTCATCCTGTTTGACATTCCCACTAATGTCAAGTACTGAAATTGCTAAATTTAATTTTCAAACCATAAGTAAACCTGATACAAATTGTTCCCCTTATTTGATCTAATTTAGCGCTAATGCTTCTACCAGTCCTTGATTGACCATTTCACTCAATGTCTAGATAGTAGCTAATCATATTGTGGTTAGTTACTGAACAATGTCTTACTGAATACTTATTGGGCAATCAACACATAACAATTTAAATTATCACTGACTCACTCCCACAGGTTACCTCATGATCCGTCTGTAAACTGTAAATTACTGAGGTTTTTCCATAAAGCTTAATCTGGCAACACATTTTTGTTCCTTGGTAATCAGTCTGTCTATCTTTCGTAATCCCTACCAATTACTGTTATTTTTCCCAAATTTTAAATGATTTTACATTCATTCGTAGGGCTAATGATAAATAGCATAAAGCCTGCCATTTGAAATAATAATAATAATAATAACTCCCATTTCTACCTTTAGCTAGTAGATCACTTGTGGGTTTTCGGTGGGTGGAGCGTTGTCATTGATAAAATTCAACGAGTTTCAGTATCTACGTTCAAGATTCTACTGTTCTTTCACCGTTGACTTACATTTGGTGCCCTTCTAAGCAAGCAATAGATTTATCTAATGGAACATAATATCTTAAACTCTCAGTCCAAACAGGTTTTAAATCTGCCTTTAACTGTCCAACCACACTTCCAGCTTTGATGCTTAGCGTTGTCATTACTAAATTATAAGGCATTTTCAACCACAGGCAGGTTGAAGATACACCCCATGGCATGTGACAGATAACTTTTCCCACTTAATAATAAATCACGCTTTTTTTATTAACTTAAGTACCACTATCAATATGTGGCGAAAGTATACAATAAGACTTCTTGAACCATGAAATGGAATAGGTTCTTTTTAACAACATATAAACAGCTGTTCAAGTTTGCAACTGCCAACTTCTCTAAGCATTAGAAGGAGAGATTCAATGATCTGCTCTTCACTGAATTTTATGGAGTAGGAATTCCAACCTTCGCTTTATTCTACAATATGTCCTAACTTGAATGCACCAGTGTGCATATTTAAAGCATATAATTCAAAGGCCTCCCCCGACTCGACCTCAGTAGCTGAGACAATTCCTGGGATTTTGATTTCGCAAGGAAGGTAATAAACCGGTTTTGATTGAATGGAGGGGAACAAATACGTTGTGTGGCCAAAATAAAAAAAAGAGGGCGAGTGGGAGTGGGGGGATTGGGGGGGGGGGTCGGGACTGGAGGGGGAACGGTGAAGGAATGCCATTCAGGGTCCATGAGTGTTGTTTTTGCGCAAATGCGGTGCGCGAACACTGCTGTTGATGAAAAATAGGAGCGACTGGCATCTTCGGCGCCTGCATCCATGCCCCCAGCATCATCATCAGCAGCAGCAGCATCAAGAGACAATACCAGTGTCATTGGAACCATCCCAACAGAGTAGACATTTTAATCATACTACATTTAAATGAAAACGATCTTTCTTCGATGACAATAGCGAATATTTTATGTGAGTACATGAATAACCATGAACTTATGGCTCTATTTTGACCCATTTAAGCGGTGAGTTCCATATGATAGAGTGAATGGATGAGAAATTTTGTGTATTCACTTTGCAGTAACATTCTATTAAATTCAAACAATAATCCAAACAGTACTACGAATTGTAAAAAAACTTTAAAGAGTGTTTTACTTTAACCTACCATTAAATATGTGGATGAAGTCAAAATGATTTTATGCAAAAAACGTTTGGCTAATTTAGTCAATTATGAGGTCAGTCACCCTCAAATCACAAAAAGCATTCAGGAATGCACAAAATTTGCATCGGATAATTATGGAAGATATTGAAAATAGATTAATATGGTAATTTGAATTATGGAATAAGGCCAGGTTATCAGAAGAGCTCTTCTTATTCTGCAGTTTAGATTCGTCTACTTGTTTAGACTTTACTCAGTTGGAAGAGATTGCTGTGTTGCATTCCAATGCCCCATGATTGGATATCGGGAGTTTATTCCCAAGTTCCAGGTTAACAAGATCATAAGTAATGCTCCAATTTCTTCCTTATTTATTCATTTTATTGCATCGGGCCTTTCAGCGCTGTTTTCTTAACATAAAGGAGCTCATCGGAGATTCTCGAACATGTGCGATCTATTGCAATTTTGCATCAGGTAGTTCACTTCATCACTATAGACACAGATAATTGATTATTTTTGCAGATTGCGCAGTGATTGCATTAGTGGAAATTTGCCTCTTTTTGGATACTCAAAAGAGGCTTTCGCATCGTAAATTCCCTTCAGGAACTTCAAAAAATACTATGAAGTTTCGATCATCTTATGCTACGAAGACTCATTTTTCAAATCAGTGAATCCTTCCACCTCAAGCAACCGTAATGTCAAAATCAGTAGGCCAGGGATTTAGGTAAAATCAAAGTGTGTATTCAAGTAATGGAAGTAATCAAAATAATGAGAACAAAGTCAAGGAAAATGAACAAAATATCACCTTGGAGTATATGAAAAAAAGGGCCAATAATAAACGAAATTGGTTGACTGATCGATGAGGCGGATGTATGTTAAGGTACATTTAAACCAAAATTTTGAGAAGGATACCGTTTAAAGTAGGAACTTGAAGGATATATTTCAATTCAATTTTCCTCTTATTTACTTTCATTTATTATGTTTCCTTTGTTACCATGAATTCCAAATTGGACTTATGTATGATTCCCATTTCCATTCTATATATATATATATATATATATATATATATATATATATAATTCCGTTATATATATATATATATATATATATATATATATATATATAACGGAATAAAGAGTTTACTAAGAAATATAGATTCAGGTAGTCGGAGAGGTGTCGGTAACTTATCATCAGATAAAATGATAAAAGCAATTGAAAATCGTTTGCCCCTTCACAAGGAATTTTCCCATACACTTTGATTATATTTTATGTCGTAGAGTGAGGTAGAAAGTCAACTTATGTGAAAATTCACAAATATTGGTTGGCATTTATATTAATAAAATGTATTTTAGGTCAATTGAGGTCTGTGATCGAAGTGTGCTTACCTTTCGGTTGAAACTATCTATCCCGATTCAAAAAATATATTTAACATTAATTAATGGGGTGGAAGGGGGGGGGAATCATTAAAAATTAAGTCCAGTATTAAGCATTAAATCAACAGTCCAGAAAATGACAAGCAGTACCAAGCCGTCAAATGTTCAGGTAAGAAGTTAAAGGTTCGTGATTCATCATCATAGAAGCCTTTAAGGGTGAAAGCCAGCTATGTTGATCAACCCTGATTGAGAAAAGATGTAACAATACGACTTTTCAGAAGAGTTCCAGGATAGAACTCCTGTGCTTCTTCTGGATGAGGGAAAAGCTCTACTTCCCTCACTTGTGAAATTTGCAAATGTGTAGCAACATGCATTTCTGTCAGCATCAAGTCATCGCTATTTCCTTTTCATTTTAAGGTGGGAAGCAAGCTATTCACTGCATTTCCCGATCAGTTGCGACCTGCAGGAGCTCAAGGTCGTTACTATGATCACAGCGGCACGCATCCAAACACTGTTTATGAATTTGGATTAAATTACGTCACCGATGAAGGTGTCATGGCTCTACCACTAAGAAATACCTCAGATTCTCAACGCTGTCTATGCACAAGTCCTCGTAAGTCACCCAAATGAGAATTTTTTCCTTGATTTTAACTTCATTTGTCGACAAAAGAAGGAAATTATTACAATTATTGAACGGAACTTGACCAGGACCTATTAGCAGAACAGTAAAACTATTATCACATCTAAATTTTAACATGGAATGAAGTCTGCCTAAGTAGCTATAGCGCAAAGATGGTAATTTGGCTTAAAACCTTAATAACTGTCTATTCTTTTTTATTTTTAATAATTCATTTACTACATAAATTAATTAGTACGGTCCTTTACTATTAAAACTGTCTTAATAAATAGTGGAATAAAGGAAAGGTAGGCAAATTGTGGGCTTTTGACTTATAAATGGTTGGCGTCCTTATTCGCGAGTAAGGGTAACTGTCTACCGGACAAAGGACCCCATCAGTTGAAGTACTTATTGACAACTCTTAATGATGAAAATTGGCTCATATGGGGTAGAAACTAAGCAGATCTCTGATTGATGATGATGAGGAATGAAGACACTTGGTTGCCTGGGGCTGCTAAATTCCCATTTAAATTTGTCAAAAATTTAAAGGGACAATTAGCGCAATTATACCACTCGCACATGCCATCTGATAAATGCTTGTACTGCAGGATCAACACATATCTGGACTTGCTCAACTCCAAATAACCTGTTAAAAGATCGAATGGTTGTTAAAAGATTTAAGAAGTCGTCTTAATGCTTTACATTCCACCTTTTTAATGCCAAATGATTGTTATTTTTCCAATCGCCATGATAAGACAGAGTTGATTCTAAGTCTGTTTGGGTTCTTTGTGTGAAAGGAATATAAAGCGCCTCAGTTATAGCATTTCAAGTTAGCAAATCATTAATTAATTTCAAACACATTTTGTACAATATCGCAGTCTAAGAGACTCCCTTGGCAGACCTTTTTAATTTAATGACAAAATCATAAGCGCACGGTTAATCATGGAAGCACACTACAGGGGAATATCAGGCCCTTTTATCCTCACCCAATTTATCAAATTTTTCTCTACCAATCAACATGAACTGGTAATGGAACTTCGAAGCCAATTAGAATTAAGCATTCTATTCATCTAAACCAAAATGTATGCGAATAAATAGAGTGCTGTAGTTTTCAATTTAAAATAGTTTTGCTTGATCTTTACAGTGCTAAATGGCAGCTTCATGACAAGGATAAGGGCTTATAGAGTTCTGTTTTTTTCTATTGTATAATACTCGAACGTCAAAATTTTATCAACATAAATGAAATCCTAAACTTATATGCTGTGTAAAATTGTTTCTGGATATAGTCCTTTATTGCACTTGGAAAATCTTCAAAATTAATCTTAGAGATAATTCACAACTGAAAATGATTCGACATACGATCATTAATCCACCTTGGTTAGCGCATATTTTAGGAACAAATGTCAATTTATCATGTCAGTGTTCTATAAGGAACCGTGAAGGCGTGGGGTGGTGGTGACAATGTTTCTGCCGAAGTTCGCCAGCAACAGCTTTCATGTCCGGATTTTGTACATTTACGCGGTATAATTGAATGCCATTTATCATCAATGAATATTGCTTCCCTCATTGTATAACTACATTAACGAGATAGGATATGAATTGGCCAAAGTTGCCTTAGGTATGCAAGGTGGAATGGTAAGGCTAAAATGTTAATATGATTACACATGATTAGCAAAAATTCCAATTATTAATTAACTGGGAAAGAATTTAGTACGCAAATATGCACAATAATGCAGTTTTTGGGGGAAGGGTTTAGGTTTAGTGAAGTAGTAAGTTGGAATAAGAACGTGTATAGTGAATAATAAATTAAGGAATGTGAAATTTTTAGTGTTGATTAACGATTGAATGAGGGGAGGGGGAGGGTTAGAGGGTTACAGCGAGTACAAACTGATTTCGTAATCCGTTAAGTGATTAATCTTTCACTTGTTTTTCACGAACGAATAAAGACTTCAAAAACTGCTCACACTCTTATCGTACCTCAGTGGGTCCTTCCCAGGTTCCATATATCTAGTATCTATTCGCCTTCCCATCTCTTTCGATTCGCATTTACCTTCGCAAACCTCCTTTTCACCCCGTCCGTTTCCAATTGCCTAATATACAATTGGATCACGTTCAACTCTGAGTACCTAAAGTTTCGATAGCCTGCGATATGCTATTAGTTGCCACGACAATAATTTATTCATTTTTTAGTTATATCAAATGGCAGGCGTTTTGATAGTTATCATTAGCCCTATAGCTGACTTCGGGTTTCACAGAAGGGAAGGAACCTGTAGCTGACTTCGGGGCTTCACAGAGAGGAGAAGAAACATCTGACTTCGGGTTTCACAGAAGGGAGGGGGAACATCAAAGTCACAAAAAGTGGAAAGGGGGAACAGAAGCGTGGTTCACAGATGAAAAAGACAGACAGACACAAATGTAGAGAAAAAGGTAAAGTAAGGTGAGTACTGTATAAGTGGTCGAATTTAACATACAGTGGGGTTGTGGTAGTTTGAAGTCATAAGTCAACTGTCGGTTTATAGACTTTATTTGCGTATGAGTATACGTTGACCAGGGTGCAGCACGTGGAGGTGAGTCTACCGCACACCCTTCCCCCCCCCCCCCCATGACAATAATAAGTTCTGGTAATTGGACAAGTCAAAGCCTAAACTATTTGATCCTTTTAAATTGCCTTACTTTCTGGCTGAGTGATGCTATCACGCCTTAAAAAATAATAGAGGGAAAATTCGGTGACAACTACGTGGCTTTCCAAAGTAGCATGGAAGGCTAGTGCATAATTAGTGTGAACTCCACAAATGATGATAAATTTTAAACACATTATGTATTTAACAGCTGACGTTCCAGAACCTCCGACCAATTTCAACTGTCACTATCTTTACGAGAATGATTACTCCTGTGAATGGATTCCCGGCAAAGACCATGGAAGTCCGATCCAATTCTATCAGCTGAAATACAAGTGAGTCATACATGATTTGATCTTTGAAAACAGAGGATAGAAGGCCGAATGCAGGTGACTCATGTTTTTGATAATTGTGCATTTCTATGTGATTGGGTAATATGCTTACTCCTTTTTTTCAACTGCTGACCTCTAGGAGCCATTCTCAAAAAAATTTTCCCTTTAGGTCTCATGATTTTCTTAAGACCTACGAAAGGGAGTGGTAAAATAGTCAACGTGTCTTTTCTTCAAAGTAACAAGTGTACCCATAAACTGGTCTATTTATTCAGCTTTCATTAAAGAAATAGAATTTCAAAGGGCTGGCACAAATAGCCGAAGACCCAATTAATGATTGAACGATAGTCGGATTAATTGATTTACCTCAGAACTCTACATAATCATTTCTTGATTCAATCATACTGCCAAGTCTGTGAAATAAGGAATTGTCATTAATGTCCGCCTCATAATTAGACGCTTAGTGTGACGTGCCATTCCGACATCGTGTGGATACTTTTCAATGCTACGCAATCTCTCATAAGATAGTTCGTAGACATTTGTGTGTATGTGTGTGTGATGTTTATCAAGAGGTGTAAGGGAACAATTAGTGATTATTATCGATCTATCGGATCCTTTGTTGTAACAATATTATCATAACTTTACTAGTGGTCCTACTTATAAGGAAAGTCGCTTAAAAATAGACTTCTTGTCTTAAAAACCAATTTGAGACGACATTGAATATAATGAAACAGAGGCTAGTAAGCAAGTTCTATCTAATGGTTGACAACGTCATCTAAAGGTCCCATCAAAGATTCCAATCAATATAATCTTTACTTAGAAAGGAGACAGCACAATCAAAGAATTTCTATTTTAAGATATGACAGCTATCTAACGTACTATCGGTTTGAATAAAAAGATATATTTCCTTTCAATTGGAGCTTGGTTTTAAAGACAATAAACCAAATAAACATTTGTATTCTAGAACAAGGATTCCATTTATTTAGATTCTATTTAACGCAAACTTCTAGAAACCATTGAAAGCAAATAAATCAGAAAAATTTAAAAATGGCGGGGGGGGGGGGGGGGGGGGGAGTAAGGTGACACTCTCATCCTTAGGCAATAACGGTTAGCTTTATACATTTTCAAACTCTTTAATAACGCTTTTCGCATCACTTAACTCAGTAGAAAGTTGACACCTGGAAGACGCTATTACAGGAAACTAGCAGTACATCACCTCTCTCAACCACACCACTGAATGTGAGCAGATGGGGTTTGACATCGTGACCCCTCCAACTCATACTGGTTCAAGTTGGCTACGACCCCACTCCGCCCCCACCCCCACCCCCACCCCCCATCGCGCAATTATATTTCATTGTGATTTCGCTAGAGAGCTAGAGCTCAATGACCTGAATATGCTATTAACTGCTCTTCGTTTTGAAAATTTCTATTTAAGTAGTAAAAATCAATTGTGAATTTTCTTTATACATATCCCATTGAAAGACTGGTCGATATACGAAGTCATCAAAATAACATCCGACTAATAATAATTCTGATTTACATTAATAATCACTGTTTACAGATTTTATACACCATCATATAAAGATTGGACTTTTTTATTCTGGTCGAAATATTTCAAAGTGTATTCGTTTAAAGAAATAAGAGCACTTTATCCTACTGGTCAAGTCTTTCTATTGAAAATAGATCAAATTGGGATCTGAAATCCCTTTATAACATCTTGAGAGAGAGAATACCAAGGAGTCAGGAGATTTATGGGTAATCTGGATGATTGGAAGAGCATAAGAGGAAAAAGGAGGGAATACTTGGGGGAAGGGGGGGGGTGGGAGCGAATTATCAGTCCACCTCTAGAAAAACTTGTTGCCTGATGGATTGCATTTGTTCACAGAAGGCCCACTTGCTGTGAGTCATTATGTCTCTGTTTATTCATCATGTGGCAGCTATGAGCTCTTAGCTTCAGGATATAATGTTCGTAAGGTCAAAGTTTAAAGTCTGACCTCTATGCTTTTGAGTAATTTATAGCCTTCTATGTTCAGGACGCAGTGATAAAGCAAATTGTCTGTCTTCCATTCTGTGTCCATTCCCTAAGCCCTCCTTGTAGTTGTTATTTTCCCACCATAAGCGAGGTCTAGGGACCTAGGACATTTTTCCCTTAGCAAAGATTCGGTTGGCAAGCACATCCTCTATTTTCTTATATTCAATCTATTTAAAAAATATACCAATTACATCGCTTTCTTTTGCAGTAGCAAAGAGAATACAAAAGAAGTGAAATTTTTGGCTAGAAACAGGACCGAACGAACATTTTTCAGAAGCGGAGAACAACTGTTTAAGCGCTTTATTTGCTTGTAGTAAAAACTGCGACTATAAATGTCACATTTATGAAATTCTCGCAAATCATTCACCTATCTCACTTTCACCCACTCAGAAATAATAATAAGTGGTATATTTTAAAAATTCCTTGGCGAATGGAAAAAAAAGAATGTAAAATGGATTGAATGCTGTTAGGCAATTTACTATAATTCTATACGTACATATTTAAACCTCCTGATTTGGAAAAAAAATCATTTGCATTATATTATAAGTGTTTTTTTCAAATTCTTATTTCACTTTATGCGTTGAATTAGGTTTGCAGCGGGTTGCCACTCCAGAACTCACTATGACAGAATTCCCTAGCACGAAACAGCTCAAGGAGTTACTTAAGATACCTCAACAGTATTATGCACACCACTTTCATTGGAAGTGTGGGACTATGAAGTCATTGGGGGAGAACTTAGTCATTAACTGCGGTTTCGAATACGGCGCCTCTGTAATGACTATTGGATATTTATTGTGTGAGAAGTCTTGTCCCATCCATGACCTTACTTGCTCCCTATCGCGATCAGCACCATGATCGATCGTTCCATAAAGTTGTAGCACGTACGAAAACGAGCTTTTTAATCGTGTTAAGGATGTGTATTTCACAGATTTCGATTATTTATACACACTCTCGAAATGATTGAAAGTCGGCATACATAGTCCCATTATTAAGTATACGTTGTCGTTAAATGATGGAAAAAGCTTAACGTTCTCCTTTGTCTGGATTTATACTAGCCTGCTAGCTTATTAATACTTTCTTTACCTAATCATGCACAATATGCCCTACTCTGCTTAGTTCTGTTCTCCTGAACGTGATGTTGAATGACAGTAACAGCGGTATTTAAAGCTGACTGAGTATTCACCCATGCCACCTCGTCAAGTTTGTACCTTTCAATAGCCCCCTTATTACTTACATAATATAAGCTAAATCAACACAGTAGAGTTTATTGTGATAGTTCATGGCGAAGCGTAGTAAAATATCAGAAGTTAATTTCAATAAAATGGCTGGTACATTCCTATTCCTAGCCTGTACTTCTCTTGATAGAGCCTACAACTCCTCGGACATGACTCAAACAAAGTGGATAAATTTAGAGAAAATCCAGGGCCCTGCTACAAAAGCCAACATAACTCTCCCCATCCGCAATCCTACAGAAGTCCATATTAGTGCCATCAACGCCTTCGGTGAGAGTAATCATAGTAGGCGATTGGTAAAACCTCCCCTCTACTATCACACAGGTAAGTAGTTTAATTCTTTTAATAATCCACTGAGTAAACTACTGCAACGACAAATTTACGATCAAATTGAAGAATAGAATATCGAGATTAGTTCAAATTGAGCAGCCTAGCAAAACGCTGTGAGTATTTATTTAGTATATCGAATCTACGCCTCGCAATATCAACTATGGAATGAAAAAAATTCGAAAGCATCTATACTCGTTTAGTATGCCGATGGCACTGAGTTCTTTCACCCCATTGGTTGTAAACACCGAGTGATCGAGAATTATTGCTGTGTATCAAGCAATGTGTATACTGGAATTGGTTAAAGTGCAGTGAAATTAATTAACTATATTCAAAAAGAGGACTAGCTTGAGCATATTTCCAAGAAGAAGCACTATAGGATTTATTACTGCCTTTGGGTTATCTAAGAGAATTCGGGAAGTATTATCCTCTAATTGACTTTATTTATATCATATTACAGGCTTTATGATAGCTATCATTAGCCCTATAGTTGACTTCTGGCTTCACAAAGGGGAGGATCAGACAAAATCACAAAAAGTCGAGAAGGTGAACAGAAGAGTGCTTCACAGATAAAAAAGAGGCAGACATCAAGGTAGAAAATAGGTGAGGTAAGTACTGTGGAAATGGTCAAATATATTATACAGTCAGGTCATGGTAGGTTGAAGTCAGAAGTCAATTGCCGATTAATAGACTTTTTTGCCATATGAGCATACGTTGCCCAGGGTGCACCGAGTGGAGGTAAGTCTATCCCATAGAATATACAACTAACAAATCAGACTTTCAACGCTTAATTGCCAATTTTTTAAAATGACCTTAGATAAGAGTTGGAAAGCGCAGGATGTCTTCACCTACGGAGCAATCGGTCTGGGAGTCCTATTCTTGCTCAGTCTTTTAATCGCCCTTATCGCTCTAAAAAGTACGTGGATACTTGTAAAATCAATATTACACATAAGCGTATGCCGTATTTCCTTTAAATTTAATTGTGAATTCTCCATTTATTTCTACTTGATTAGGTTAAATAAAGTATTTTGAGATATTGACCTCTATTTTAAGAGTCACAGTTCAGAGGTTTTTGAGTTGTTATGCAAATAGTGGAAAATGCGCTAGACCTTTTAAACGTCAAACCAGCGTCGAACTAGTATAAATTGGGTCCAAAATTATTCGAACTGTGTCTGAAGTAGCGATAATAGGGAAGACATCGTGTAGAGAGGGATTTGCTGAAAGAGGACCCCCCCCCTCTCTTGGACGGTCAGGAACTAAAGCAGAGTTTGTGTTTATGGTGCAATAGTTGCCACGTAAGTCTGCAGAGTCTATCGCCTTATGTGTGATTCTAAAAAGTGAACGACAAATTATCGAAATGGCTGACCACATTATCTAAATCTAACTAATTGCTAGGGGCAAAAAGGCAGGATTATTGTCAGAGCGTCTTCATGATGTCGTCTTTTTTTCAATATGATAATTGAAAACGCCTTCCTGACCGCGTTTGGTAACTCGAAAAAAACCACCAGGCCGATGATGCTCAATAACGATATGACTAGATCATATGAGCGTGTTTTATGTTAGCATTCTCGTTCATCTACTATTATTTTCTTCAGCCGTTAACCATGTCTGTCCTTCTAGAAATTAAACGCAGAATAAATTCACATATTTTCTGAAGTCTTTGTCAAAAAGTAAATTCATTGAAAATTGGTAAACAGTGAGGGTATTTAAAGTTTCAGCCTAATTAAAAATCAATTGCAAAAAGCATCAGGAAATATAATTATTGGCTCAGTGTTTGACATTTTTAATTGCTGATCGATATTTCTTAATGGGGTTTAATTATGCTCCATCGAAGAAGTGAAAAAGAGAACACAATATTTCATTATTCTAATTAGCAGAAATAAATAGAGAAATTGAATAGTAGCCCACCTACCCCCCCCCTCTCTTCAGGTTGAAAACCAAAGGATATGATAAGGACTTGGTCTTGGTGCGTCAGATTCAGGTTTTTTAAGCCGCTACTTACTTCGTTACTGGAGTTGCGCTATTCAATTCACATATTTCTGTCTTGATTCATAATCACCTTAGCTTTCGAAATACTATTCCTCCTCCTAATTTCAATGTGTGATGAATCCGTGGTATTCTCTTGAACCAAAAAAGTTTAATTTATTGCTGGAACCTTTATGGGGAGTTGATTTTCAACCATCCCTAATAAGTGGAGATTGTGTACAATTAATGCCAATATAATAACGAATGTCTGAGGTCAGTCTCCTATGAATTCTAAAGAAGTGCTATCAATACCAGTCTCTTTGTTCCCTCCAAATATCTATTTCAAATTTAAATAAAGCCTGCCTAATAAAAGTTTTGTCATGTATCTATGGAATCTTCTAATGATTTATCGTGCTAGATTCAACTGTTAAATTTAAATTAAATGAAGTAATAAACGCCTATTTATTAAAAAGTTAATCAATAATCTTAACGGCATGGAGCTTTTGCCTTCCTAGTTATATATCACGCTTCATGGCAAATTATTTTAGCATTTCTGTAATTTCCAAATGAAAAATTGCAATTTCGATATAGAAATACAATTTTCTTGGGCATAATACATTATGCCCTAGGAGTCTGCAGTTATGGTAAATTATGTATTTTCATTCGAAAAATAACATTTTTGTTCACCTCTATCAGAGATTCGATTGTTTGTGGCAATAGCTCTCTAGGCTAAATTAATACTAATTAAAATCAAACTCACTTTACGCTTTAGTTGATCATATTTTGTTTTTAGTGGGGAAAACATTGACAATTATAAATGATTTAAATCGGTTAGAGAAAAGAATTGGTCGTGAGGTACACGAACTGTGGCTGTGACCCTTTAATAAGCGAGAGAAGATGGATGACAATGGTTTTCAACCAATAAAAACTTAACTTCTATCGTATTATCAACCTAAAGTAGGGTATTGCTATTGTTAGGAACTATGAACAAAAAGATGAAGCACGTGTAGAAAGAAATAAAGCTAGAAGAAAAATGTAAATAAACCGTAATTTAATTAAGATAGACGAGGCATCTGGTATCAGCAACTTCAAACCGATGAGGCGGGCGGAAACAATTGGCTCGAAGTCACTTCATATTTGATGATATGATGGGAAAATAATTTGGCTTTTGATGACGATGGGTATGAGATATATTCTTCCTTAATATAAATATACTGCCGCTTCTATCTTGCAGTTTTGTATTTTTTAAAAGTCAAAAATTTTCAAAACTTAGTTTTCTTCCTACGTTAATGCATTCACCAGCTCATCCTATGACAACGGGAAAAAATCCTGGGAAACTAAAACTTATTTTAGTTCAATATTTCTGTGGATGTTATTTATCATTTGAGGTCAAGGAGATATTTATTCTAAAAAAAATAAAAACCACATAATTTTTAACAATAAACTCAAAAGTTTGTTTTCATTCTAGGAAGAAGGAGTTTTTCAAAGGGAACGAAATCTCCTTTTCTCATCAATTTCTCCCGTGGTCGAGGGGTAAATGGTGGAAATATACGATTGTACAATGGATCTTTACAGGACAACAGCCTAGCAGCTACCAAAACAACAAGTCTCAGCGGTCCGGCCTTTGATTTTCTTTCCTCCGTGGAACCGGCCTGGAGTCAAGAAGTGAACTCCCTCTACGGTGCTGGTGTGGCTATATCTGGTGACGCGGATGAGGGTATCTTCAATCTGAATATAATACCTGTATCTCGGCTGAGATTTCTTCATTACATCGGTTGTGGAGCTTTTGGTAAAGTATGGGAAGGCAGATATCTCGTTTCTTCTTCAAGTTGTTCGAATCTGGAAGATCGATTTGAACGAGTGGCTCTTAAGGTGAGTAATTCCTTGCTTTATATCAAACACCTCGCAATGAAGTCGCCAGATAGAGACATTGAGATCATCACAGTTGAAATGAATTTTAATGAAATCACTATGTGATTGTATGCTTTTATTGAACTGGATGATCCTATATTATGAACTGTATATTTAAAATGAGCTGGATCTTATTAATGAAGTAAAGTTAAGTTACCCGCTTTCAGTACGAAATTTTAGCATAATGGCTAAAAATATTACTAATGGACAATGGTATTTTTCTCATATTGTCAATAAATTTTTTTTAAGATCTAAGGGGTAAGTGGGATTGTTAGCTGAAGATATGAAAGGAAGGTCCTAACATCATTGACCATTGCATCAATGAATTTATCATGATTCGTGAAATGGTTATATCGGATCATTCACTTCTTCCTTGATTAATATTACTTGTTGAATCATTACCAAATATTTCAGACTTAAAACGCCGAAATGTTCTTAGTAGATTACGGAGTAAATAACCATAGTTGGGATGTTCAGAATAAATAATAACGTTGTCTATATTAAGAAATTGTTCATGTCATCTTCAAAATTAGGCAATTTTAGGAGCCGAGCTCAGCTGATTAATTTGTATTTCTAATATTGAACAAATTTTCTAAAGATTTACTAAATTTCACCTATTGTTCCTTACTTTTTTGGTAATCTGAATTTCGTAAATTACTAGATTTTAATTTTTCTGAAATTTTTCTAACTTAGGAAAGAGAGGAATAGTAGAATCTTATTACTGTACTCCTCTGTATTTGCATGGATAATTTTTAGTAGAATGCTAACATTACTTTGACCTGACCCCAGAATTTGAATCTAGTCACTTCCAAACTCATTTTCAAATTGCTGAATTTTAAGGTTGAAATTTACTTGCTTCAGCTACTGATCGAGGGCTGGGCATTTGCAATGCATATCGAGAAACAGGGAACAAATTTATTCTGTTATATGTCATTGTCTAGTGATTTGTTAGGCTTCAGCTATTTTGTCCAATTTTGAGGTAACGTATATTTATTTATTTAAAACATAAATTCTTGCCCAACACCCAACATCCGGAAATCATTCTGCCCACCAAAATTTCTCATACAATCTCAAGCCTATTTGGCATTTATATTTCATAAGTCTACTTTATAAATGTCAAATACTAGCAACTTACCTTACTAATTCTTATTTACTTTATCACGCAATTTTTTCGATAAATCGATTGGGCTTAATCATATTTTTATTATGAATTATTTCATGTGAGCTCTACTATGTTTAAAATTCTCCACTGATTCTCAACTACCAGCTCTTGACAGCATGAAAATACAAATAAATCAAGCAATCTTTACCAATAACTGAACAAAATATCCGTCTTAACTTTACTTGGAAAGGCTTTCTTTTTGGAATTCTGGATTATTCAGAGATTGTGGAGTAAAATTTATTTATTTATATCAAATGGCAGGCGTCTTGATGGTTATCATTAGCCCTTTAGTTGACTTCAAACTTCACAGAGAAGAAGGAACATCAAATTGAAAAAAG